GTATTTATATTTATTTATATATACATATGTTATTTTTAGGTCTTAAATTTCTAAGTTAAAGATATAGTACATAATTTTGCAAAATTTTGAAATAATAAAGTTCGAAACCACTCTTCTATTACTCTTTATAATAATTACTCTTAGTTAATAAGTTTACGCAAAGTAAACTGGATTAAATATAATTTCACTTTTTATTATTATTGATGCGTTCAAAAATTTCCATTCTAATAGAACATATCTAATTTACATCGCTGTTAGGAATAAAATATAATTTCCCAATCGTTAGAATATGTATATATACATATGTAAGAATGTGTTATTGAATTTTCCTATTATTATTTCTTAGACAAAGATTAACTAATTACATGTAAATCTTAATTTGGAGGGAAATTTAAGCTCAAGAAACAATATATTTTGTTTGAGCCATTTTTATATTTTCGTTATTTTTTGTATTATAAAAAGTTTATTGGAAAAACTTATTTAATTTTCTGCGAAGAATATTGTAATGGTATATGTTAAATGATTCATTTGCAAATATTTGAAGTCTGAATATTTAAAGATCCCCAATTGAAGAATGAAACGGGAGTAAATGAGTCGAAAAAATATTATTCCCGCCATTTTTTACTATTTCTTATTTTATTGTGGTATTACAGGCGAATAACATATCAAATAGTACGGTTTAATCATTTATGTCAATACAAAATTATCAATTTTTTGAAACTGATAAAAAACATAATATTTTTCAAACATAATAAATATTTGAAGAGACAATTTCAGACATTAGTAGTTAAACCAGAGAGGAAATTTCCTCTCTTGTAAAACAAAACATGTTTTATAAAGAAAATTACTAATTTTTGGTTGGTAACAGTGAAATGCCTAACATTTTTGAACAAATAAGAAAGTTTTAGAAACTTAAAATAATTTATAATTTTGTTTTTATTTCACTGTTTTTTGTTTGAATTTTCAATTGTGCTAGTTATTTCTTTTTGTTGTAATAATGATTACACGTAGCTCTAGCTCTATATTAAAGGTATTAATTAATAACGATATTATTTATTATTATATTGATTGTATTAATGCTATATGATCGTATATAATGTTTAGCATACGATAAAAATTAAAGAATCTATATTATAACAATTATCTAGGAATTTTTACTATTTGAAAATTTAATAGTATTTTCAACGTTGATAATGCCTAATTCTCTTAACCTCAACTCGTTGTTGTCATTTATATCTTCATTAAATTAAGTAAGAATACGATATCAGCCTTTGATGACCAACTTAAATGTATCAATATTATTATCGTAATGTGATCTGTAGCATTACTTTTGAGGTTAATAACTGGAACACTTTGTACATTTTCCCTATTTATTGTGTTTTCTTAAAATCAGATAAAATTTATTGATATATTATACTACACATATTAACCAACTATAACTATTCTAAACATTTTATTAAAATTTATATATATTTTATATTTTACTATTAACTCTAAATGTTCTAATAGGCAACATTAGACCAGAAGATTCCTCCAAAGGAAGAATCAACTGTATCTGAACTCCCATCAATTATATTTTCAGGCTACATTAATTATGTCAATGATTTTAACGAATGTGCTATGATTTGTGATAATCTTATGTAAGACTTACACAATTGACTTAGAAAAGAAAGATGATTCTCAAATATTAATTTATACTGAACATTTCATTGTAATTTTTTTTAGAACAGAAATAGAAAAATATGATAAAATAGTACCAATAGGATTTGATTTGGAGTGGCCTTTTAGTTTTCAAACTGGATCTGGTAAAACAGCCTTGGCACAAATCTGTTTCAGTGAAAATATTTGTTATCTGTTACATATATATTCATTAAAAAAATTACCAGCTGCATTTGTGGTCCTTTTAAGTCATCCAAAAGTGAGATTAGTTGGAGTTAACATAAAGAAGTGAGTTAATTGATAATGCTTTATTATAATAAAATTCATGTATTTTTCATAATTTATTTATATTACAGTGATATCTGGAAACTAGGTAGAGATTTTAAGGAATTTCCAGCTTGTAAAGTCGTAGAAAACAATTGTATTGATTGTGGTAAATTTGCAAATACAGTATTAAATAGGTCTTGTCGGTGGAGTTTAGAGAAGTTAACAGAATATTTGGTTAGTACTTTGATTACAATAAAACAAATTTCAAATGATAAATGGAAATTAATATTATTCATTATGTGATTTTTCTTGGTTAGTTAAAGAAAAAGATTAGTAAGGACCCAAAAGTTAGAAAAAGTAAATGGCATATACATCCATTAAATGATGAGCAGAAACTTTATGCAGCGACAGATGCTTATGTATGTTAACTATAAAAACATTATATTACTATTACGACTTCAATTATATTTTTAATTTTAATATTAAAATCATTTATTATTTTTATAGGTTTCTTGGCTTTTGCATGTAACTATACAAGAACGAGCAAATTTAAAGGATAATGAATTAAAAGAGACACAGAATATTAATGTCTCGATATGACTACAAAAATAGTTAAAGTTTTATGGGCTGGTAGATTAAGTTATAGATCCGGGCTTAAGCTACAAAAAATATTATCTGATCAGCATCACCAAAGGGTAGAAAACAATAGTTGCAATACATTAATATTGCTTGAGCATGATCCAGTATATACAGTTGGAATTAGAGATAAAGATTATACACTAAAAGATCAAAAGAAGTTAAAAAGTTTAGGTGCTGAGTTTTTTAGAACAAATCGAGGTGGCCTTATAACTTTTCATGGGCCTGGACAATTAGTAGCATATCCTATATTAAATTTAAAAGATTTTAAAGCTAGCATTAAATGGTATGTGTGCCAAATAGAGAAAATGATTATTCGTTTATGCGCCGAATTTGGCATTAAAGGTGAAACATCCCCAAACACTGGTGTATGGGTGAATGACAAAAAGATTTGTGCCATTGGTATTCATGGAAGTCGTTATATAACAACACATGGTTTAGCTTTAAATTGTAATACAGACTTAAGTTGGTTTAATCATATTATACCTTGTGGTATCAAAGGAAAGGGTGTAACAAGCATTAGTCAGGAACTTAATATAAATGTTACTATTCAAGATGTGCTACCACTGTTTCAAAATGCTTTTCAAAATCAATTTCAATGTACATTAATTGAATATCCAATAGAAGAATCTTATCAATTGTTTAAGCTTGTTAACAACAATCTGTGTGCACAAAAGACTTAAAAAGTTGAATGTAATAATTTTAATAAATTTAAATAATTTTATATAACACATGAGATTAAATGTTCTTCTTCATTTTACTTTTATTATTATAGATTATTACCTTTTTTCGCGAGATAAAAGGTAAATAACAATTTTTGTCTTATAATTTAGGGGATTATCTGATTTTCTTGTCATTTTTGTATCTCATGCGGTATTACTAATTCCAGTTATCCTGGTTATTTGTGTTTGAAGTTATTTCTCTATGATCTTGATAAATACTTTATCGCGGGAACTTGGCTTTATATCATTGATATCGATATGTAAACAAAAACAAAATTCGAAATTATCATATATCATTTCACTGCTCAAACACCCAGTCAGAGTCATTGTTTAGAGACTCAATGTCGATGGTGTAGCAAGAAAAAATCAAAATACAAAGGACAGAACATACTCTAATGGAAAATTCTGAGTTTACTTTTACCTTACATTTGTCCATCTTGTTTTCAGGTACAATTCCTTCCACCCTTACTGACCCTTAAGGATGGAATGAAACGAAAGTCCAATAAGAAATGACCTTTCACTGCACTGTATTTACAAAAAAAAATTTTAATAAATAAATAAAAGCTAATTTAAAGAAAAATGTTTTTTATGTTTTTAATGATTTAAAAAGGAACAATTTCAAAAACTTCGTTTTAATAGTATAAGATTTAAATAAAAAATTCGTGTATTTTTAAATAGGAAACTTTTATTTTTTGTAAATACTATAATAATAATACTAAAGAAAAAGCATAACATAGTCGAATTAAAGTATATATTCTTGATATCTCTATCAACATGTTTTACGTTATCATTTATCTGTATACAACATTCTCTAGCATTAGGTAAATTCTCAAAAGAATTTGTAGGAAAAAGAAAGGAAAACATTGTATTGCATGTTATAGCCTTACATTTTAGCTTTCTTACTAAATTAACGAAATAAACACTAAATACAAAGGTAAAATCGAGACAGAAATAACTAAGTATTTCATATGTTTGAACAAAATAGTAAACTAAACGAAAAATCTTTTACTACAATTAAATATCAATGAATGGAATGAACAACAATAGGTGTACTTACTATATGAATATTTTCATTTGATACAATATCGCTGCAGCAGTTAAATATAAATCGTAAAATTGTATAAAACATTATCCATCTGTATCAATCTTTACTTCTCTCATTAATCACCTATTAATCGTCTAAAGTAGTACCGTAAAAATTCGGCTCGTCTTTTTGTTTATCGTTCCTGATTTTCCAATAGGAAATACATGTAATATATATGGTACAATTTGCTTAACGCTTATACATTAATATACTAGGACATAGAAATTGGTTAAAGCATAATGGAAGGTATAATCTGCTTGAAAATTTATAACATTTAATAAAAATCTTCTTCGACAATGTATTCCTGTCGATGGAATACAAATGAGTAGATAGTCGTTCGATATACAGAATGCATAGACAACAAGCGCCTTTTACATTCACAGAAATGGACAAAATTATAAATTTATAATAATATTTGAAGATCCATCTCCTTAGTACTCTTTTGTAGTTAAAAAATATTGCATTTTTCTGAAACGCTACTAAAATATGACATACAACCCAATTCTAGGAATATGTTATGTACTTGCATTAACCATACAAAAATTATTATCTAGTTTGTAATTACTTGATCACATTGAAAACTTATCCCCATTTGTATTTTAACGTAAAATGTACGTTTAAAAATTCAATATACTCATATTAAAAAAAAAACCTTTGTTGAAAGAAAATAAAGAACTAAAGGAATGGATTTGAATACATTATATGGGAATGTATTATAATAGCGTCTTTTACAACATGCAGTAACATATGTCGTTATAATCATAAGATCGATACATTAGAAAAATATCAGAATGATCTCATGACAAAAAAATGTTGTATAGTAAAACATATCCTCATACAGTAAGTCCTCACGATATCCTATGTAGAAACAATTTGTTTTGAGCAATACTTCTCGAACAAATAAAATAGCTTTGTTTGCTTTGGAGAACGAACACTAAATATAGAGATGTAGAACAATTCTCTCTCAGGATCTAATCGTTAAAAAATAATGATTCGCGTGCGTGTGCACGAAACACATCATCCACATCTACATACACGCGCAATAGCACACACAGACACACACGCACACACACGGAGATCCTAAAGTGGTCACTTTAACGCGGCATCAAGAGTGTCTTCACCGTATTTATTACGTCAGTCGTACATAGTAATTGTTTCTCTAGGCGCTGGTTAGGAAAATATCTCTATAAATTCTCTTAACGCTTCATCATTTCCAGATGGAGACATAGGTCAGTATATTATTTGCCTATGTTCTAATGACCAATCAATAAATCAGTCCATAACTGTTATCTTTTAATCAGTGTTTTTCAATTTTAATTATAAAATATGAAAATCTGAATCTAAGCAGCGACTGAATGTGTGTCGCTCATTTTTTTTGTGAGCTCTTGGAGGAAGTCCCTGTATATTAATGAGTCCATGTTAGAAGAGAGGATGTAGAGAAGCCACCAGTCGCCCAGATCAATCTTCTTGCTGATGCTAGAGCAGGTTTCGATAGAGGGAAGTCTTGAGGATAGTTGAAGCAATCTTGGCCTGATTGCTGGGGCAAAGATTATGGCAGCTCTGTAGACTATTAGGCCCAAGAGTAAAATCAACAGGATTGTAAACCAGAACCAGATAAAAATATATGTCTTTTCATTCACGATGTTCAACGGAAGAATACATAGCGAGTCGTGCTTCTGTATTGTTCCTGACGCGCCATACTTGTGGAATATGCATTTAGTGACGCGTGGAAAAATGTAGACCATAGGATCAACACGTTCCTCCTGGGGAACGTCAGGTAGTGACAGTACTCGCAGACCATAACTGAGGAACTCGCCGTCAAAGAACTGATTCATTAGGCACAGTTGAAGGAAGATGTTGATGAGACAGAGAACCTCGCAGCCGAAATACCGATACACGTACGTGTTGTGTGTCTGAAAGAAGAAGCAATCGGCGAATTGGCATAAATTGGACTCAATGAAGGCAAATTGGATCTAACCAAATCGTCTCAGCCTTCCTCTCGCCTTTGCTCTTACGCTTTTGTGTCACTGTCGAAAAATTCTTTCGAAGGATTCAAGAATTAAATTGGCCAGATAAGTTTGATCAAAATGACGGAAAAGCTACTAGTCATTTAGAAATACAAGGCGGTATTAGGCAAAATTAAATGTTATCGCTTATTGTTAATTAAGTATTGTATTTTATATAGTATCACTGTTTATATTTCATATTCTAACATTATTAGTATCTAATGTTTTACTAGTTTTATATTTGGATTTAGGTTCTACGGCTTATCTCAGAAACTCAAATTATTAAAAATAACGAAATGTTTAATAAATAGTCGTATTACCTTTCTATACTGCATCAGGTAAACCATTAGCATTGACTTTTTCTTTTGAATGTTCTCCTCACAATCGAGACTGTGATTCATACCCATAACCAACGCGTTGATCAAACCGCCTTCGCACATGTTCCACAACCATTGTGGAACGTAGCATAATACTGCCTGTGAAAAATTATGAATATTTGGTTGGCTAATAGATCATCTTAAAATTATATTCGCGTTATTACAATATACTATATCCATAATAATCTCCATAAACAATAAAAAAAAAACGGAATTTTACAAGGAATCGTAATCGATTAATAGATTTAATATTTTACAAAGAATCATAATCGATTAATACGTTTAATATTTATTACCAATGATAAATATTCTCAGTAGCAGAAACATCACAGTTTTAGTTTTTTCGTTAAAGCAACGATTGAAATCAATCCTATGGCACTGGATATATTTAAGAAAAATTTAACAAATTTCTCTTTATAAACGAGAGTTTCTAAAATCTCTATATCAATCCTTGTGTAATATTTAAATGAATGAAAATACTCTTGTACTTATACGACCTATGGAATTTACATCCGCGCTGATGTAATCTGTCTCCAGCAATATGTGAAGATTTAATATTAGATTTATCTGTGAGAGAAATTATAATGGTGTTATGAAAAATACTTATATATACAGTGAAACTATTTATCTGAATTTTTCAGAAGACAGTTCAAATATGTATCTTCCTATGCAACAGGTTGCAATTACTATTTGTTGAATGAAGAGTTCAAAATTAGATAAACAAATTGATTTGACAATTAATCGGACGCTGAATAAAATTCCATAATAAAAAATGGAGCTTTATTGCGTGTACAAATCTTTAAATAAAACAGTTTTGTCAGTTTCTTTCTACTTATTAATTCAAGTAAAGTGTTTATCTACCATTAATCCGTAACTATAGATCACTCGTTTTTCAAAATTTGAATCTTTATTCATTAGCGTAATTTTTAAGCGTCTTTGATGGAAAAAATCTATATTAATCAAAAAACAGTTATATTAGATTAATATTTACAACATAGTGATTGAACAAATACAATTATTAAGTAATCTAATTTAATAACATATCTGTGTTAGTAATAAAAATTAAGTATGAAATTAAGAATTAAATGCATAAAGATTATTTATTAAAACAGTTCTCGCGAAAAGTAACGAGAAAAAGTGATAACATTGCGAGAAGAAATACATCAGAATTATCAGTAGAGGAGTCGTGATAAAGTTTTAACCGATCGATCTTTTGCAGTGGTGCATTCGTACTCGCGAACCAGTTTCAGATATTCTATACGGAAAGAAGAGAACAGCGACGACAGTAAAAGGAAACTTAAACTGAGAAGTCGCGCGCAGCTGTCGCGGCCAAGCTTTATCTGTCGCGTGTGCAAGATTACTGATAAACGAGTCTTTACCTGGAAGAACAACATGAAGCACACCCATTGGTAGTAAGTGTAATATTTCCTTGCATCCACATCGCCGAAGTCGTTCGCCACTCCTGGATGCGCCACCTCTACACCGACCTGATAAAAGGAACAAATGTTCTGTCAACAATAGGTAACGACGAAAGACTGCAGGTGTAGTTGATTAAATTTATATCTACATCGTCTGTAGTCTGTGCCATATATTTAGTTTCATTCTTTTTACAGGACGTATCAGAAATATTGGTCAAAAGGATAATTAGCGTTACAAATATATGACAAAAAATGGAAAAATTAATAATTATTAAGAAATTATATATCAACTACACGAATTATTCTTAATTAAGTATCATAACAAAGTTTCTGAAAAATTACTTAAATAATAGTTATTATCGATTAAGTATTATAATAAAATTTTTAGAAAAATATTTCTATATGTAGATTATGATATGATATGATATGAATAGTATGGAAATCATATTTATTAAATAATATGAAGGAACAGAGAGAAGAGATTAGTGGAAGAAAACAAAATTTCTTATAAAATCCTAAAAATATTCATCATGATCATCAATACTCATAATATTTATTTAAATTTTAAATAAAACTTGGATTATGTTGAAAATATGTTAAAATATATGTTCGAAAATGTTTATTCTTTTAAATCATCATTAAAAAATTAACTTATGAAAACATAAAATGTCCATCATAATATTTAAAGTTTGAATAAATTCGTATTATGTTTATGACTGATTACTAAATTTGCTTAAAAATTTGGGATTGACATAAACATTATCATAGATTATCACATATCGTATCTCAAACAAGTTTTTGTTACAAGTCTATATACCATTATACATAGTATATAGTATTTTGTTATACATTATACATGTATCTAGAATTGTTTATATATAGTATGTCATTTCCAAGAATGGTCTTGTTCATTCAACTCGCGTGAATTTGCTATTCAAAAATATAAACACAATATATACATATATTTTATGTGATGTGGGGGGTGAACTTAAAAATATTTAAAATCATAATTCGAAAAATATTCATAACACTTAATTTCTGTACAATTAAATAAACTCGTTAAAGTCTAAATTATTTGATTTTTTAATGTTAAATAGGATGTATAATTCCTTAACGTAGATAGTATTTAATACAAGTACAACACAAGTACAAATCTAAGTATTTATTTCAAAAAAATATTATAGAACTACAATATGTATTTACTGAAGGAGGAAGATTTGTTTACATAATAAGATTATAAATATAGAAGATACAAAATTGAATTGAAATTGTAAAATTCAAACAAATGTAACAATCGTGAAATTATACAGATTTAAAAAAATTATACATGAGATAACATTTATAACCCGAAATGATTTCGTCATTCTATATTTTCTGTATTATTAACAGCGATTTTGATTAGAAATATCGAGTAGCTTTCAAACTAATTAGATAACAATACAGCCTTTAATAAGCAAAAATTTTGTTTAAAAAAAAATTCAAAAAAAAAAAAGATTCGATCTCTAATTCTAATTACGTTTACGTCTCCGATAATTATGAGGTGCATCTATTTCTAGTTACAACATAAAATTTAAATACTTATCAAGAATTCTTATCTAAATACTTATAATAATAATTAATACTTTATACTAATACTTTATTTAATTAAAGAATCAAAAGATATCATAAATAATATACATCTATTATACAAGGAAGGAATAACTGCTGCTATGATTGCAAAACAATAAATTCCCATTTTTATCTATCTATGTTATGCAATTGAACATGCCGCGATAAAAACAATTTCTAATAATTAATAAAACATTTTCTACTATTAATCTGATAATTTCAGAGCTTTCTCATAGTATGTATATTCTATTATTGATACATAAAATTAAACCCTAAAACTGTCTCCATAATAAAAATTAGTCAGTACAACATTCTTCTATTGTTATCAACAAACCAACTTCGTGCGGATATTCGTAAAAAATCTCAAGGTTGAAGCAAATCATCCAAACGACCATATCCATGATTAAAACGTGAGTTCACGTTGGAAAATTAGGGACGCAGTCATTAACTAGATTACCCACCTGCCGATTAAACGCGTCCGGCATAGTAAACGTAGAAGTTATCCAGCAATAAGTATTGATAGGGTGCGTGGGTAAACCCTGAACGATACACGAAATAGGATTGCCAACGTATTGGGTAGCCGTGATCACCATTGAACACGTGAAAAGCAGCACTGTTGTGAAGCGGTTGTGTAACCGAAACACCATCGAATCCGTCGTTATATCTTGCCATTTTAAATACTGCCCAAGACCTCCAAGTAACTTATACATGATTCTTTCGTTCTATTAAACTTATAAATCCTCCAGTTGTTTATAAAATCCTCGTAAGTCTCGCGTGTCCTCCTTCGCACAACTAATCCCACGCGGTAGAATCGTTCACGAACGAAAACAAAAAAAAAAAAAAATAGAATACAAGAAAGAAACACGGAGAAAAAATTGTATCAACTGAAACTTCTGCGAGTCCTCATCTACCGCGTTCAGGCTCGAAAAACGGTAAAACGAAATGAAACTAAACGAAACAGACACACGATCGTCGTACGGCTGTGTCCATGCTGCGTGCCTCCCTCTTTTCGTTTTCTTTCAATTCTCCTTCTCCTTCAACGTCCTTCTTCTTTTCCTTCTGCCCTACTCTATCCGTCACCGCTTCTTGTTCTTCTTCGAGGCGAAGAGAACACGCTCGCGCGCGCGCGATCGGTCACCGAACCACGTTGAACGAGATCGCGAACGTCCGCGATCTAGGACTTATACAGATACTGCTCCTTTCTGGCAGAAATTTAGTTCTGAGACGCGTTCAAGAAACAGGTATATCCTATTGGCATCTTTCGTTACCGATAGATCGATCTGAATGCGCAACACGTTTCGGCCAGTTTAGGTAAGTGTCGTAAATAAACAACTGCACGTGTGTGAGAATTCTCCGCTTCCCGATCGGTGATGTATCGTTTTCTCCACGTGATTTCTTGTTAATCGATTGTAGATGAAGTGTCTGGTGATACGTTGAATTACGTACAATTTTGTATAATTGTCCGGTTTCTTGAATCTACACAAAATCGCGCGACATCGCGGATCTAAGTAATTCTTCGCTTCGTGTCAAAGCTACGACACTCACTGTCAATCCTGCTTATTCCTTTCGGTCGCGTCGGCTGAAGATTTCTCGTGGAGAAACACAGCCTAGCGCAAAATTGTACAACACCTTGAACTCTCCCCGACGTGCCACGAGCCCCCTCTTTCTCCTTCTCTCTTTCTTTCTCTCCTCTGTCCGCACGGCACTTTTTTCCCTTGATATATCGTGCAGATAGATCGTACGATGAACGGGTTGTTGCGAGCAGCAGCCAACACCGAATTGTGTCGGCATATACACGTATGTACGTAGCAGTCTTCAACGTCGACTGACGAGAAGTCAGTGGCTTGTTGTTCGGTCGAGGGGCGAGAGGGAAACTCTTTCGATCTGCTAGGGGGACTGCCGGAGTAGAAACGA